TGATAAAGGTGACATATTCAAGAATATGTAATATAACCAAGTCTATACTTATCTAATAACCTTCAAAATACACGAAGTAAAAATTGCCAGAAATGAAAGGGGAAATAGATAAGTGTATAATCATGGTAGGAACTATTAAATTCCTTTCTCAATAGCTGATAGAACAAGTAGATATAATTTGCATGGGAATAGAGAAGACCTAAATACACTTGGTTGAATTGATACTTACATACCCAAAGATAGTAGAATCAAATTTTTTAAGTGCACATAGAATATGCATCAAGTGGGGTTACATGTAGGGCAATAAAAGAGACCTCAATAAATTTGAAGGGATTTAAATCTTACAAACTAAGTCTCTGGTCACATCAAAATTAGATTATAGATTAATAACAGAAAGCTATCTACTATATTCAAAAATAGTTGGCAATTAAACAGGATACTTCCAGATAACTGTTGGGTCAAAGAAGAAATTACAAGGGAAATGAATTTAGAAAATATTTTGAACTGAATTAAATGCACACTATCAAAAATGTGTGATATGCAGCTAAAGCTGTGCTTAGAAGGAAATTAAAATTTTAAATACTTATATTTAAAAATTATTTAAAATCCATGATCTAAGCTTTCATCTTAAGACGCTAGAGAAAGAAAAGCAAGATATGCTTGAGTAAGTAGACAAAAGGAATAAATAAAATAGCTGGAATCACTTAAATACAAAACAAAAACATTTGAGAATTGATGAAAATGGAATTCATTCCTTTTAAAAATAATAAAATTGAAAAATCTCTAAGTAGACTTATTAAGAAGAAAAGAGAATATATAAATTATCAGCATTATGAGTGAAGGAGGACATTACTATAGTCCCTACAGACAAAAGAGAATATAAGAAAATATTGTGAACAGCTTTATGTCAATGAATAGGACAATTTAGGTAAATTACCTTGAAAAATGATGTTACCAAAATTGATCCAGGAAGAGCTAGAAAATCTGAATATCTAGATTTAGTAAAGAAATTGAGCTAATTAAGCTCTGGGCTCAGATAATATATTTTTTCCAACACTTATTGAAGAAATAATACTGTTTTTTAAAAAATATTAAATAAGATAGAGCCCTTCCCAGCATGCTTTATAATGCCAGCAATACAGTGATACTAAAACCAAGCAAAGATAGTCCAGGAAAAATAAACTACAGACCAGTGTCCCTCATTAACATAGATTGAAACATTCTTAACAAAACATGGGCAACTGGAATCCGCAATTATAAAAAGACTAATAAACTGTGACCAAATGGGTTTATCTTGGGAAGGCAAGACAGGCTTAACATTGGAAAATCAATACACCATGTTGAAAGAATAAAAAAGAAAAATCATATAATCATGGTAATAGATACAAAAAAACTACCTGTCAGAATTCAAAACTCAGCCGGGCTCGGTGGCTCAGCCTGTAATCCCAGCACTCTGGGAGGCTGAGGTAAGTGGATTGCCTGAGGCCGCAGGTTTGAAACCCGCCCAGGCAACTTGGTGAGACCTCATCTCTACAATAAATCAAAAATTAGCCGGGTGTGGTAGCGCATGCCTGTAGTTCCAGCTACTTGAAAGGCTGAGACAGAAGGATCGCCGGATCCCAGCAGGTCGAGGCTGCAGTGGCTAGAAGCGGCCACTACACTCCAGTCTGGGCGACAGAGTGAGACTCCAACTCAAAAAAAAAAGGAATTCAAAACTCATTCATAAGTAAAATTCTCAGCAAACTAGGAAAGGAGGACACTGTCTGTCCTGATAAAGGATATCCATAAAAAACCTACAGGTAGTGTCATGTTTAATAATTGATAGGTGCTTTCCCCCCAAATTAGGGACAAAACAAGGATATTTACTAACACCATTTCTATATATGATGTGTTGGAGGATATAACAAGTTCAATAAACCAGAAAAAGGATATAAAGGACAAACAGATTTGAAAGAAGAAGTTAAACTTTCATTACTTCCAGATGACATCATCAGATATGTGTAAAATTCTAAAGAATCTATAAAAAAGCCACTAAGATTGGAAACACTAAAACCATGGGATTCAAGGTCAAAATATGAAAATCAATTATAATTTTATAAGTAGCCACAAGCAACTAGAAATTGATACTTTGAAAATATATACTGGGCTAGGCACAGTGGCTCACACCTGTAATCCCAGCATTTTAAAAGGCTGAAAAGGTTCGCTTGAGTAAAAGAAGTTAACACCAGCCTAGGCAACATAGTAAAACCTAGTCTCTGTTTACAAAAAAAAAAAATACCTAGCTGGGCGTATGTCTGTAGTCCCAGCTACACAGGAGACTGATGTAGAAGAATCCACCTGAACCCAGGCAGCCAAGGCTATGATAAGCCAAGATCATGTCATTGTACTTCAGCCTAGTTGCTGGAGCAAGACCTTGACTCAAAAAAAGTATATGTATATATATTATATAAACACACAAATACATGCTATTGCATACATGCATTGAAACATTACATTGTACCCATAAATATGTACAATTATTAATATGTATCAATTATAAATATGAAAGCTATATATACTTACCATTCATAATACATCCAAAGTTACATTCATAATACATCCAAAACCATCAAATATTGGGGATAAATTGTATAAGATATGTCTACAACATAAACACTAGTGCAAAACGTTACCCAGAGTTACTTCTAAAATTGATATGGGAATACAAATGACCAAGGGAATTTTTAGAAATAAGAATAAATTTGAATGCTGTATACTACCAGATTTCATGACTTAATTTAGAGCTGTGGTCATCAAGAAAATGTTGTATTGACATAAGAATACACATCTAAGTCCTGGGGCAGAATTGAAATTCCAGAAATAAATCCACAAATATATGATTGTTTTTGGCAAAGATACCTAAGTAATTCCATTGGTAAGTGATAGATTTCCCCAAAAAGTTGAAACTATTATTACTGATAATATTTCTAATAAAATTTTTTCAACACTTTATCAATAGGTATTGATATCTATAGGTATTGATATGTGATGTTGTCTGGGAGTAATGCAAGTTTAACTTCTACCTTTAAATCTGTTTTTTTTCCTTTTCCTAGTTTATTGATCTTATAAGGTCTTCCTGCACAGTTCTAAAAATACTTTTGAACAAAATATAGACGAAAATATTTGATACAGGGAAGGATGTCTTAGATACGTCACTGAAAGCATGAACTATAAGAGAAAAAGAAAACAATTGTAGATTGGTCTTTATCAAAATTAAAAACTTTAAAATGGTTTTCAAAAAACACCTTGAAAAAATATGAAAAAAACAAACCAAAGAATGGTTTAAAAAATATTTACTGTACACAAATCTGACAAGGTTTTATCCAGAATAAATAAAGAACTCTTACAGTTCATTAATAAGAATATAAGTGGCCTGTATTTTTTAGTGGGCAAACGATTTGAACAATAGGAATATGGCCAATAAGTACATAAAAATGTTTGATCATTAGGAAAATGCAGTTTATAACCACAATCTTGCTACACAGTTAAAATTTTAAAAGTCAACAATACTAAGTGTTGATAAGGATATGAAGCAACAGGAATGCACGTACATTACTGATGGGAATGTAAAGTTGTATGTGTACTTTGTAAAGCAAATTGGCAGTTTAAAAAAAAAAGATATGCACTACCACTTGATGGAGCAATTCTGGTTATACACAAACATTTATAGAAGCTTTATTCATTATAGACCAAAATTAGAAACAATATAGCATTCTGTCCACAAGTAAGTATATAAACAAAATTGTTGTTTATCCATGCAATGGAATACTACTGACATATTCAAAACACGTATAACTCTGAAGAAGTATGCTTATTGAAGAAAACCAGGCACAAAAGGGTACATTCAATATAATGCTACTAGTATGAAACTCTAAAAATACAAATCTACGATGTAGTGAAAGAAAGAAGGTCGGTGGTTGCCTGTGAATGGAAGGATTATTTGGAAATGGACACGAATATGAATCTTTTGGGGGAGATGGAGATGTTCCATACCACCAGGTGGTGTTGGTCACCCAAGTATGTATGTTTTTCAGAATGCACTGAATTGTATGTAAATAATGCCTGGATAAAGTTGGACAGGGGATTTCTCATTTGATGCAGAAAAAATCCTCTATAATTAAAATGTACATTATCTGAGGATTGAGAATTTATTAATTTAATTAGACTTAACCAGCAGCTTGCTTTCAGCTTTTTGAAACTACCTTTTTAACTCTGTTTTTTCAAATTGCAAAAGAAGGAGAAGTTGAAAATATGTGCTAAACTTATGATCAAGCATATAAAAATTGGAATGCCACTGGTCAAAGTTAAATAATTTTTATTGGGGTAAGATTTCAAGTATATAATGGAATATTTTGTTATTGATAATAATGTCATTACCATTATTATATAATGCTAGATGTGTATATGTAACTTTCACAAATATGTGATCCTTATCATAGCTTGTGAAATAAATAGAGCAGGTATTATCATTCTCCTTTACACATGAACATACAGGCCCAGTGAAATTATTTAAAACTGGTGAAGATCACACAGCTAACGAGTACGAGAGAAGCTAGGGTTTAAATTAAGGACTTCTGGCTTCAAATTTTCTCACCTCTGTGACACATGACTTCCCTTTAAACCACACTTTTGTTGTCTGTGTGTCTAGTCTATCTGTTTCTACCACCTTCTTTTTTTAAAGACACAGTAGCTTTATTGACATATGTACTATTGATAAAATTCATATTTATTTTCAGGCTGAAGTTTTAAATATTGGTTCAGTTATTGCCATATTAACCAGAAATATTCTTGGATATTCATGCAGTAACCATAGCTAATAATGACGACAGGGAATAAATAAACTTTGGATATAATTTTTTGTTCCACAAAACAATATGAGTAGTTGGCCAAAATTATGTAATTTGACTAACTTTCAGATTCTGTTTAATATACTAGTTTAATCTATTTATGATCATTTTCAGATTAAACAAACTTGAAGATACTATTATACTAATTAAAGGAAAGATTGAAGAAGTTCATCTTCCTGTAGAAAAAGTGGACGTTATTATATCCGAGTGGATGGTGAGTGTTTTGGGGAAAAACTTTCATTGGTAAAATGAAAAAAAAAAAGTAGTGAATAAGGTAGCAATTTTTCTGCATTTAATTATATTTGATAAATGGCAGAAAAGTGGCATTATTTTTAAAAATAGCTACAATGTTTTTATGGTAGCTTATTCTGAGGCGGCATTTGTGGGCTATTCATAATCTTTAAAAAGTAATAGATTATCTTTTTTACCTTTAAAATTGCAATAAAGTATTATTTTTCTGCTTTCTAAATTTGTGGATACCTAAATATTTGCCTGAAAGCCCCCAAGGTTTAATGAGCATTTATTAAGATTGTTTCATCAAAATTCACTTGGTGTCACCACTATTATTATCCTGAATGTTCTGTCTTTCTGATCTATTGGGCCATGTAATCAATGTCCTTTATTACATAAAATAGAATTTATTGCTATTATTTAAATGATAAATAATTAAGGTATGTTACATAGCTTTATGATTTACTGTTTACATCCTGAGTCAGGATAGAATATTTATTTTAAAATGTTTGTAAGATGAAATGAATGGTATTTGCCTTACTGGTATGCCAGTTTGATAAAAAATGAACTAGATAGGATTTCTAATAGACAAAGTTTTTTTAGCCATTTAGAAAGAGTTTAAATTTTTTTAAGTTCTAGTTGAAAGATGTATTTTTAAGATATTTATTTTTTTAATTTTTGTAGAGATGAGGTCTTGCTATGTTGTCCAGACTGGTCTTAAACTCCTGGATTCAAGCAATCCTCTCACGTCAGCCTTCCAAAGTACTAGAATTACAGGCATAAGCCACTGTGCCTGGCCCAGATGTATTTTCTTTAAATGAATTTATCAAAAATTTTGAAAGCAACCTGAGGTTTTCTTTATAATTTTTTATAAATTTTGAATAAACTAACAATTCAAGCAAAATAGAAATTTCAGGTAGCTTTTGAAATGTTCAGATGTAATGTAATAGTGTAGTGAGTTCCAGTCTAGAGCTGATGACAGTCACTATTTTTGGCAATTACTCTTGTATGCGAAACAGTGCATTTTTTTTAATGCTAAAGTTGTCTTTTAACAATTCTTAATATCAATATTTTTCTTATACCAAATAATTTGTATCAGCACTCTGGTTTCTCATGAGTTGAATTAGTAGGTATACATTCAGTCATTTACAGTTAAAATTCAACATTTCTTTAAAGACTATGAAAAGATGCTTTGGAGAAAGCACATTTGAGGCATTTACTTGGCAATAATGTAAATAGTTTATACCAGCTGCTGGCTTGATGTGCTCTTCGTTTTGAGAGACCCAAGAGATTCAAAAAAAAACTCTAAGAGAACTATTACTATATGAATTCCTACCCCACATTCACTGTATTTGTTTGCAGTGTTTGTACTTAGAGCTTTGTTAAGTTTAATTTTTGTTTGTCTCATAAAATAACTGATTGCTTCCGTAACTGCTGCTAGTAGTGTGTGAATGTTAAGCAATAAGCTCCTCCCAGACATTCCTTTGCTTAGATAACAGTAGACTGGTGGCATCAGCCACCCTCCCCCCCCCCCCCCCGTAGGTTCTCCGTTTTTTCAAACCTCCTGCCTGCTTGCTAAACCTAGCTTATCTGGCATTCCATTCCGCCCGTTTGGCAGTTACTTGTCCATCACAAGTAACAGCCTAAGCCCGCACAAATCAAACTCAAATCAACCAATCAAAGTCTTTGTAATTGCGTCGTATAGTTTTTATCCAATCCTGTGTGCACAAGTTTGTAAAGCCACCCCACCCCTTCAGAATTATGTATAAAAGGTGCGTATTAGCCTGGGTCGGGGCTCTCTTCCCTGAAGTCGCTGTGTCGGCTTCAAACGTGAGCCCAGACTCGAGCCTGAATAAAGACCCTTGTGTGTTTGCATCGGAGCTGGCTCTTTGTGGTCTCTCGGATTTAAAATCTTGGGTTTAACAGTTTCTCTAGGGACCATTTTTCTTCGAAAATACATCTTTTAAATGACGCCAAAGACTTGTAGACAAACTAAAAAACAGATTAACTAACTTTCTGTTACCTCACTTGGACATTATATGTAACACACAAAAATAACTAATTGGGTGGTTCTTGCCCTGCCTAGCAGAGTTATGCTTCTAGGTTTTGATGTTCTAGGAGTTCATTTTCACTTTTAAAATCTGAGAGATGACCTGGAAGTATTAGTATGCAGTTGAAGTCTTAAAGCCAGCTGGTGCACTAACTGAATGAGAAATTAGCCAGATTTCATGAATTTATGAGATTGACTTTATGATGTGAACTCTACTGAAAGTTGTGCTGTCTTGGGTTTGGTTGCCCTCAGATCTGTTTTGGATTCATCTCCTGTTCTCTTCCATACTGAAAGAGAGCTCACTCTGCAAGCTGCCTTTCCCAGGCTCCAGAATCAACAGACTTCCGCTGGATTTGGGAAACCCAATTGGAAACACCAGTGACAGATCTAAGTCAGGAAGAAGCCAGGGCATTTCTTCCCTTCTCACTTATCTCTAGTGTGTTGCTGGCAAAGCTGTTTCTTTTGTGGCCCCAGTTCCCACTGGACAGGCCTACCATAATTGCAGCTTCCACTGTGCCGCCCTGGCTCAGGTAGGAATAGCCTAGGGCTGGTAATTATTTCTTGGCATTACTGTAGTCTGGTTGTCTCTCTTCTTGGTGACTTCTCATATCTTTTATCTTCTGTATAACTTTCTACATTAATTTTCCTCTATTTTAAATGGCCTGTAATTTCTCTTTTTCTAGCTAACAAAATAAAGGGCACCTTTCATTTTGGCGGGTTGGTCAGGTATGATCATTCTTTTATCAGGAAGGCATTCACTGTAACACAAACAGTACTGATTGACTGAAGCCTGAGGTGAAAGAAGCCAGTTGTTTGGAAGCCAATGTGCTTAGAAGCCCTGAAGTAAGGGAAAACAAATCAGTGCATCCAGGAAGTAATAAGAGCTTTCCTCCTTCCTCACCACAAAGGTGTTAACTTAAGCATTTGCATTATCTTACTGGCTGCCTTTCCTTGTAAGAATTAAGTGAAGTCTAGTGATTGTATTAAATGCTTTAGGTGGGCTATGTACACTGTAATTTATGATCATTAATTTTGTGACAATCAACTCTGGATGGCCTTATTTCTCTAATGAAATTTGCATTTAAGTCTTTAGGAAGTCTTGTGCTAAAATATTTTGAATCATTTTTGTAGGTTGGAAATGTCCTTTGTGGGATCTTCTAAATCCTATAAGCCCCTTCCTAACTTTAGTACTTCCATTAGGATTTCTTACCCAAAAAGCTATGGAATACTAATTACATAATTAAACCAAGGGCAAGTCTGCTTTCTAAAATGTAAACTTTTTAGGCACTCCTACTTTGGCACCAACAGTGGACAAGTAGTAAATAACTGATTCTTTTAAATCTATAGACACATTTTCATCTCAGACATGACCTCTATTAAGCTTTCCTTTTCTGCTTCTTGAATACGTATAAAATCTCTCTTTTCCCTGAATCCCTTTTGTGCTTTGGTGTACTGCTTTTCACGTTGTATTATAATAAATTATCATTAACCTCTTTCCATTAAGTTAAGTAATAGAAACTATTTTAAACTTAAAGCATATTACGTAGAATCCTGTCTTTAATTATTTTTTGCATATAGCATAGTAAGGATGCAACATTTTTATATAAGTACTTTCAACATGAAAAGACAAAAATGGAATATACCCTCCAGAATTAGGCACAGATGTTTAATGGGCTTGTAATCAGTATAGCAGTGTAGATATCATACACTGCAGAGATTTACATCTGTTTTTTCCTGCTGTGGTCCACAAACTATTCCATGGTTTAATTTAGATATGGTTTTTTTTTTTGGTCTGCAGTTGTTTGTGAATTTGGTCTTTATTTTGGAAGATAAGAATGTGATTTTAAGAGCTAAATCATCACTGCTAGAATGTTGTTTAATAAACTATGACTTGCCTTTTAGACAGCAAATTTCTAGATTTAGGCTTGCTTTTAATTTTATATTTTCATTTTTGTTTTTTGCTTATTTTAAGAGAATTTTTCTTTTTATTTGTATATAAGGTGTAATATATGTTTTGATATATACCATGAAATGATTACTACTGCCAAACAAATTACATGTCTATCATCTCACAATAACTTTTTTGTGTATGTGGTAAGAGCACCAAAAAACCACTCTCTTAGCAAAGTTTCAGTGTACAATACAATATTATTAACTATAGTCCTCCATCATGCTATATATTTTCATTTTTATTGGATAGGATTTTTGATAAAATCGTTATCAGTTAAATATAAACAATTTAATCCCTGCAAGATTTAATATTTATGCCTTTGTGTATGTGTTCTCATTTTTCACATTTTACTCTATAGAAGTTCTTGTTTTGAGAGCTATCCTTTATGATTTCTTGTTTCTGATTGAATAATAAAACTGTTCAAAATAAACATCCCAAATTATGACCGAGCAGACTAAATTGTTTCATTTGATGTTGCTGTTTTCCCTCTGTGTTTTCAGCATGACTTTAAAGTACATAGACAAAATCCTGATGTTGTATAATACACATACCAGAGATGATTCTTGTTTGCACCTATGTGACTTTCTGCCATCAGGACCATCAGCAAAATTACACATTAGGTGAACTTTTATGTTTCATTTACGTGAACATTCATGATACACATTCACATTATTTCAAGTCCCTTGTAATTTTTTGCTTTTTATAAAAAGGGCCTAAAGTTTTACCTTGATTCAAATATTCTTGGATTTATTCTTGAAATTTAAGAATTAATTTTGCATCCAGTCTTCACCAGAACAGGTGTGTCTACATGTGTTAAGTGTGTGTGTATGTGTATACACATTACATTCAAGTTGATCAAGTATACTTTATTCATATTCAGTGGTCTTTCTTGTTGTAAATAGATTTTCAGGATTTTATAGCTTTATCACTTAGAAAATATGGTTTGTGGTTAGGCTTACTAACATTTCAAGAAACTGGCCAT